GCTGAATGGATAAGAACATACAGGCCAGTATAGTCTTGTCTGCAGGAAACACATTTAACCTGCAAGGATGACATAGGCTAAAAATAGAAGGGTGAGATCATATTCCAGCAAAAGAAACCAAAAGAAGGCTGGTGTGGCCACGTTCCAATTTCCCCGATTAGTTTTTAACCAAACAAAGAGTAGTAAAGACAAGAGTCATTTATTAATTGGTGAGAGGGCACAGTGCCAACCAGAGGAGATAACAATTTAAATATAGGCACCCAACTAGTGACCCAGAATTTCATAAAGCAAACCTTACTAGTTAAGCAAACTGATTAATAGCAACTCCATAATCACCGGGGATTCAACACCCTACTGACGCACGATGACAGTTCTCCAAACAGGTAACTTCAATAAAGAGTAATGGACTTAAACAAACTCGTAGATGACAAGTTGGCGTCTGACAGCATCCTGACAGAACATTCTACCCAATCGCAACACTGAATATCTACAGTTCTTCTCATCAGCTCACGAGACAGTTCTCTAAGCATTGACCATATCCTAGCGAACACAAAGAAATCTCAAGTAATTTAAAAATAGAAATCATACATGTCCTTCCTCCAAGATCAACAGGGTAAAACTAGAAATCAACCTCTAACAAAACTCAACATTCTACACCAAAACTAGTGAAGATTACGACCTCCTGACTAATGTACTTCGTGAAATGAAGAATCAAGACGGAATAAAAACTTCTTATGAAAAAACGACAATGGAGAGACAGTTATCAATCCTCTGCGGACCAGCTAAGCAGTTCTGAGAGGAAAAGTTTATTCCATTAAATGCCTCATAACCAAAAGGCAAGAAGATCACAAAATGAGCAATCTAAATAAAGAGCTCAAAGAGCTGGAGAAGAAGAAGAACCAACGCAACCCAGACAGAGGAGATAATCAACAAGTCAAATCAGCACCATAACGAGAATGAAACAGGAAAGCTAGTTCAGGGAGATTAATAAAACAAAAAGTTGGTTCTTTTGAAAATAAAAATGGACACACCATTGGCCTAAGCTAACGAAAAGCAGAAAAGAGAAAATCTATAAGCTCCATCAGGATGAAAAAGGAGATCATACAACTGATCCGCAAAGAGATAACAAGATACAAATTTATGAATACTAAACAAAAATCTATGGCAACAAACTGAAAAAAGTTGGAGGAACAGGACAACATTTCCTATAAACCACAGCTCCAGCGTAACCTATGGAGATAGTAGTTTCTTGAACACCATCTCAACAGCTGAATAGAACGCATTTAAAATCTTCCCTAAAAAGAAAGTCCGAGGCTCCAGATGGCTTCAAACCTGATTTACCAACACTTACAAAGAAAACTAGTACTATCTGCGAACCGATTCCTACAACATCGAGGGAAGCGGAAACCCTCCCGAACTTTTTATGAAGCGCAATATTAACTCTGATACCAAACCAGGAAAGGATGCAACAAAAAAAGACTCGGACCCTATATCCCTAATGAATATAGATGCCAAAATTTATTTCAAAAAATCTTTAGCATAACGAATCCAGGACACTTATTCAAAAAAAAATAATCCACCACGACCAAGTGGCTCATCCCAGGGGATAGCAGGATGGGTTCAACATACGTAAATCTGTAAATGCATTCACCCATACAGAAGCGAAAAAAAACCACATGTCTTCAAATAGATGCAGAAAAGCTTTTGACAAATTCAACACCCTTTCATGATACGAAACTTAAGAAAATGCATAGAGGGACATACCTAAAAATGATACAGCCATATATGACAGACCCGTAGCCAAATCATATGAATGGGAAAAGACTAAATCATTCCCACTTAGAACTGGAACAGACAAGGCTGCCCACTATCTCCACTTCTATTACAACTAGTGCTGGAAGTCTTGGCTACACAATCAGAAGGAAATGGAATCAAAGGTATCCAAATAGGGGCAGAAGGACCAACTACTGGTTTGCGTGATGTATGATATTGTCTAGAAAACCCAGGATCACCAAGAAACTCCTGATGATCGATGAATTTAGTAAAGCTCAGGATACAAAATTAATTACACAGAAACAGAGGCATCATATACGCCACAACAATCTAATTGAGAACCAAATAAAGAACTCAATCCTTCACAATAGCAACAAAGATAATTAACAGCTAGAAATACTTTACCAAAGAGTAAAGACTTCGGGAGAACTATGAAACACTGAGGAAGGAATAGCAGAGGATGTAAACAGATGGAAATCCATACATGCTGTGATCGGCAGACTCAATATCGTCAAAACTGTCTATACTACCCAAACTATTACAGATCACTGCAATACCTATTAAAATCCATCAGCATCTTCACAGATAATAGAAAAAATAATTTTACGCTTCGTATGGAACCAAAGAAACCCCGAATATCAAGAGCAATCTAGGCAACAAAACAAAATGGGACGCTTAAGTATCAGATAGTTAAACCTATACTACAAAGTGTAGTAAATAAAACAATATGGTATTGGCCAAAAACAGAATATTACCAGTGAACAGATGTGAATACCTGATAAAACCATCCTCATCATATGCCGTCTCACTTTGACAAAGCAGATCAAAACATCACCGCTGGAAAAGAATCCCCTTCAATAAATGGTGCTGGAACTCGGGCATAGTCACTGTAGAAGGCAAAAAACAGGACCCACACCTTTCACCTCTCACCAAAACATACGCTGGAAACGACTTAAACCTAAGATTGAAACTAATTAGAATCTAGAGGAAAAAGTCTGGAAACACTTCTCCTAGACAATCGGCCTGGCAAAGAGTTTATGAAGAAGTCCCAAAGGCAATCCAGCAGCACAAAAATTAAAAATGGGACCATGATCAATACACAAGCTTCTGCAACCAAAGAAATAGTCATGAAAGTAAATAGACAAACCTACAGAATGGAAGAAAGATTTTTGCATCCTATGCATCGATAAGGGACTGATAACTAGCAATATACTTAAACTCCGAAATTAGGAAGAAATCATAACCCATTAAAAGTGGGCAAAGGACTTGAACAGAATTTTCTAAAGAAGACAGTAGAGATGGCCACACAATGAGAAATGCTCAACATCTCTATATCAGGGAAATGCAAATCAAACACAATAGATATCACTTAACCCAGTGGAATGGCCTTTAATCAAATCTCCAAAATAAATGCTGGCGTGGTTGCGGAGAGGAGGAAACTCCTACCATGCTGGTGGGACTGCAAACTTATGGAGGGTCAACCTCCTGGGAAAGCAATATGGAGATACCTAAGTGATCAGAGTGTCTACCATTGTCCAGCAATCCCATAGCTGGCCATCTACCAAATGATCAGTGACAACTCTACAAAAAAGACACCTGCACTCGATGTTATTATAGCAGCACAATTCATAATTGCAGGCTGTGAACAGCCCAATGCCCATCAATCAAGAATGGATTAATAAATTGTATATGTACACCATGGAGTACTATCCTTAAGAACAATGGTGATATAGCACTCTTATATTTTTTCCGGTTAGAGCTGAACCCATACTACTAAGTGAAGTATCCAAGGAATGGAAAACAAGAACCAGATATATTCCAAAGCAACTGGATTTTAACTGAGTAGCACCTAAGTGGACACATAGGTGCACCAGTAATAGTGTAATTGGGCAGGGGAGGGGGGGGGTCGGATACATACATAGGTGAAGTGAGATGTGCACCATCTGGGGATTTCATGATGGAGACTCAGCTTTGGGGGAGGGGGGAAATGGGCATTTATTGAAACTTAAATCTGTACCCCCATAATATGCCAACTAAAAAAAAATAATTAAAAAAAAAAAAAAATGTTCACATATATCATCAGAGAATGCAATTAAAACACAGATGAAAAAGATATCACTTACCACTGTCAGAATGGCTATTATAAAAAGTCAAATTGGCATGGATGCAAAGAGAGGGGGGAACATTACACACTAATTGGTGAGCTGCATAGTAGAACTCTATGGTAAATAGTATGGAGGTTCCCAAAGAAGTAAATATAGATTACCTGAGTTATCAAGCCACTTACTGGTATTACTCAAAAGGAAGTGAAAATCATTCTATCAAAGAAGACACTGCACTCAAAAGTAATCAACACAATTCACATTTGAAAGATATAGTAATCAACTAAATCTCATAATTCAAGAGTGGATTTAACAAAATGGTGATATAATACAGAGTATTACTTAGCCACAAAAGAAATGAAATAATGTATTTGCAGCAATTGGATGAACTGGAGACGCATTATCTAGTGAAGTAATCTCAGGAATGGAAAAACAAACACCACACGTTCTCTCATAATAATTTGGTACTAATTGATGAGCATACACAGGCACAGGATATGTAAGGTCATTGAAAATCAAGAAAAGGAGGGAGTGTTGAGGGGAGGAGTACAACTACCTATTAGGTACATCACATTATTGTGGTGATGGCACACTAATAGCTTGACTAAGAATTTAAATGTTTATTCATGTAAAGAAATAGGTTTACATTTAAATTTTGAAATTAAATAAGTAAGCCAAATTAAACTGTTATTTCACTTTGATCAATCTTCTTTTTAGTTTTTACTTTGGCATTTATCACTTTTCCACATACTCCTTCATACATATTGTGAAGCAACTGCTCAATGATATTTTGAGGAACGCTTTAAGTGCTTCTGAATTTAACCTAATCACTGAATGGCATGCCCAATATTGAAAAGTGCTTTTGATTTCTAAGTAAACTGAATGACTTGGTTTAGAATAGGAACACAAGGAAACAAATTCGAGAGCTAAATCAATTGGAATATCTACCCTACCAGGTAGTTATTCCTTCAACTGAAGATTATCAGGGTTGAAGGTGACAAAGCATAAGAGAAAATTGAGTATGAATAGAATTCTCTTTTATAGTATTAAGCAGTTCAAATTACTGACTATATATATATGTATATACACACACACATATGTATAACTACTTTAAAAAGTACTCACCTCCACAAATGCAACATAAATGAAGTAGCGACAGCCCATTTTCAGTGCGGTAATTTAAATTGACTTTACTGAAGGCTTCATCAGAGCTGAAAAAATATTTTACAGAGGATCTCAAAATTCATCTTTTAGTATATTGTTTTTCATTTTGAAATTATAAAAAAAAATTTTGTTACTATAAATTCAGAAATTTATTTTTTTTTTGGATTTTTTGCACCTGGAGAAAAATTTTTAATCCTTTGTATCATGAAGAATTAAAATTGAGAGAAAGTACTGTAGTTTTACTGTGTAATGATGCCACTGAACTTGATTAAAACACTGATTCCAATAGTTACTCCTGAATCACTGACAGGTGTTATGTGTCACAATAGCAAAGTTGGTGGTTGTTTTTAAAAATATATGAAGACAAGATCAGACATTTTCTAGGAGCCTGGCTGAGAGTCACTGTGAGCATAGAATACTTATATGTATAAAATTGACTGTGAAAATCAGAAAATTTTGCAGTTTGTCAAATGTGCAAGGTCAATGAAGTTCAAATTTGGTTTGAATCTGTAAGGGCCAAGGGAAAACTTCCTGTTTGTCCCTCTGAAGTTTCCTGAAAATCAATTGATGAAAGGCAGATTAATAAGAGAAAAGACATACAAATTTACTAGATCATAGTTTTAGTGATGCAAGTGCCTTTAGAATGCAGACCCAAAGATACAGGGGAAACTGTCTATTTTATGCTAAAGTTCAACAAAGTATGAATGGTTGTGTAAAAATATCATGGGACAAAATGAATATGATCTGATGCTAAGAGACTGAGTAGGGAAATTCAGCAAGGCCTTATCTGTCTAGATTCTTCTTAACTTCTCTGCAAAGCATTCTTTCCTTCTGAGTATGAGGCAAGACCCTCCCTGGAATGGAGGTCTTGTGATCTACAATCAAACAATGTAGGTCAGATCATTTATTTATTGCTAGTTTTTACACAGAAAGGTGGGGGGAAAGTTAAAGTTATATTTTTAGGTTTCATGGTTGGCTTTGAGGTAAAGGGGTTCTGGTTTCTATGACTTGTTTTCGGGAATAGGGATTCTAGTTTCTGTGGTTTGCCTTGGGGGAGAATGAGGAACCATAGATAGGAGAGCCAAAGGTCAGAGAGCAACTTCTGCTTCTGAGGCCTTCATTTTGGGGTATCATTCTCTGATCCCCAATAAAAATTATGCTAAAATTCTTCCAATATTTACACTTCAAAAATGAAGTTATACATTCACGGTAAAGTTGATAATAATAGTAAAAACAATACAATAATCATTTTTTGATCACATAACATGTGCCAGATACGATAGTAGGCACTTAAACTCATTTATTCCATACAATACATATATATATGTACAATTCATATATACATACAATATATACAATACATACAATTCATATATATTATTTTGCCTATTTTATAATTGAAGACATTATGGCCCAAAGACATTAAATAACTTTCCCAAGTTGGAAAAACTAATTAAAAGGCAGAATTTTGAATCCTAGTGTAAATATAAAAACCAAGATTTAAGGATCACCTGCATTGCTGAGATGATTTTGTTCCACTTTTAAAACATCAAAACATATGTAATATTGGAGATAAACATTGAAAAAATAATTTTCTCAAGAATATATTACTTCTTAGGAGCTAGCTCCAAAGTTTTTTCTTCTTTCGCTATTTGCTATTAAGTTCATCACAGTTAACTCAAAAGAAAGTATATCCTTCCTTGTTTTCCTCTTGGGCTGCAGGTTATATAGTTCTTTACATTAACAAAAGCACTCTCTTTCCTCCTTTACCCCAACACTTTGTTTTCTGTCTTGTGGTTTTATAGTGTGTTTTATTTACTGGATAACAGAAGGACCAGGGAAGAGAAGCTACAAAGGCTCAGAACTTCTGAATCATTGTTCATCATGCCTCAGTTGCCAGTCACGGTTTTTTTTTGTTGTTGTTGTTGTTTTTTTAATTTATGGACACACTGATTTCCTACAAACTTTAGAGACGAATCCAATCTGTGTATTTAGAAAACCGGAGTTCAGCTCTGCAGAATACCTGTACTATTATTTGATGTCATAACCACAAAGAAGATCTCTGTGACCTGCGAACAAATTTTCAAATGTGTTTCAAGTACCTAGTTTATTTTCTTCCAAAAAAGATATTTATAAAAGAATTGACTTTGAGGGTTTGAAAGCTTGGCTTGGGCAAAGACTACCCATTTCCAAGAAACATGTTATTTTGTGAAGTTACTGCACATACCATAAGTAGCTTTATCATTTACAATTAGGCTCCTTATAAGGTGAAGATTAAAACAGTGAATTATTTTATCAGAAATAATTTTGTTTGCACCATTCTTTGAGCTGATCGAAACTACTGATAGAAGTGAGTTAAATTCCTAAGTATCTTTCATGAAATCCTGAACTACCTGATATATATTATATTATCAATATTTATAAACATTAGAGTTTATGGTACTTCTACATAAGGCATTCTAAAGCAAGTTGAAGTGTGATTTTCAATATGAGTAAGTGTGTCCATGGACTTTGCTGCTGAGAAGTTGAACACGGAAAGCAAGAAGGTTAGGAAGGTGGAAAAGTTCAGGAATATTGTACTTCCATGGCTATAAAAATAAACCACTGAGCTTGCCTTTACTAATTAGAGCATTTCACTGAGTTCCTTCTATGACCCTGGATTTAGAGGCTTTCTCTTTTTAGCAGCACTTGGGGAATAGCATCTTTTCTTTTTCTATTTTAAAATTCCAATAGCTTTTGATTTTCTTAACTGGATGGCTTGATCATTATGTTCTGAATTTATAGAACCTTTCAATTGTAAGTACTTTACAAGTGATAGGAGCCTTTGGCTCACTCACCAAGGACTGTGCTATCTCTAAAGCTGCTGGAGATTTAAATAGGCAGGAGGCAGTTTGAAATTGACCTGGGAAGCCAAGGATATGATCTCATTTCTACTGAGAAACATCCTGAGAGTACCAAGGATCTCAAGAGGTCGAAAATTTTAACTTTACATTTCTTTTGAAAGGCTACCTGTAGCTCTCTAGGGCCCTCCTGGGGCAATGGTCTTTGTTCAGACAAAGGAAAGGATTTCATTAATAGAATCACTCCTCTTCTCACCTGGGACTATATCACAGTACCCTGCCAGAGTTTAGACTTTCTTTATATGTGAAATCTGACTTAGTCAGAGTATGAGAGAACTTTGCTTCAGGCACATGTTGTAATACAGTGGGATTATATTCCTTTTTCTAGTCTCTTATCAAATGAACCTTCTCTTTCCTTTCTTTTCTTTTTTGTTGGAGAGATTTCTCAATTTCTCTGTAGAGATAATGTGAAATTTGGGGTATGAGAGAAATGAGTTTATTTTTGGATGTCTGTTTTTTATTTATATATATATATTTTATTCACCAAAGTGACCTGAAAAGTTCAAATTACACATAGAACAAGAACTAACTGTACACTAGAGTCTTTAAATTTGATCTCTCAAACTTTTAATATTAGTGTATTTTCAACATCAGAGATATTTAAAGAACAAAAAATACAAAGGGGGAAAATACTGAGATCAAAATCACTTTATCTGAGAATACAGAGTCAAGTGCTTTCTTATTCCGTGATAGAAATTTGATAATCCACTCTATAAGTCTGGCACAACACCTACTGAACACTGCTATGCGCCCTACCTCTGCTCTTAATGCTTACTTTGGGTTGTTTTCAACAGTCTTTTTTATATAAAGTACTCACTAAGTCCCAGATCTTTTAAATGCATCAGTTCTAGAAATACATGGAGTAACTACAATCCTGCTACTGACTGTAGTATTAGTCATGATATCTAATGCCCTGATCAGCTTTTCAAAAGAAAGGAAACACTGAATATACAGAAATATATAAGATATCAAAGTCCATTGCTTATGTTTTTAATGTCTATTGCTTATATAAATAAAATTGAAAGCATGATGAAATTAGTGACTTTTTATTCAACAATTATTCCTTCTCCCACTGGATCTTGAACTGGTCTTCACCATCTTTAAGTGACTGGATATAAAGTACTAAAAAGTTCCTTGCCTTAAACTAAGCTGCTTCTTGTTGCTTTTGTTCTCTTGGATTCTATCCTCCTTGAACTCACACAACTTCTATTAATGTCAACAAAATGAATCAACAGAGAATAGACTCCTATAATATTTGGCAGTCAAGTGTGATTTTAATAGTACAATTTTTCACTTAACTTTAATAACTGGAATGTAAAATTTTAAAATGAGAGTTACTTTGGGGGCTATATTTGAATCCTAATTCTCACTTCCCATTAACTTCCAGTCAAACGTTTCTGTTTTGATACATGTAATTAAAGTAGTCACAATTTTAAAGCAATCATTCCTAGGAGAGAAATTTCATTTTCTCTTCTTTTGCCTCTTCTAAAGTAACTGTGTATGTCAAATTCACTGCCAATTGAGCATCACTTATGTATTCTAATACCCTAAGCTCAATTTATTTTTTAATTTCCCCTTACATTTTTCATCACCTGCCATGCCATACTGTAACTTAACATACCCTAATGAGTTCATGGTGCATGCTGGGGCATGAATGAAGGTCCTAATTAATAAAGTCACTATTATGAATAAATTTCTAATAGTAAATTCTCTCCTTAATCATTAAAAATGGTAGTTCTGTACCCAAAGGTTACCTTTTCTTGTAGCATAATGAATTCTTTTCTTAGCCTTTACCTTTTACCCAGAAAAGTATGCAGTTTTGTGATCTAATTAAACTTCTTTCTCATGACCTCATCCTTTTCGAAGACACCTGACATAAACACAAGTGGGAACTTATTAAAATGTAACATTTGAACAGTTGGCCAAAAATAACACATTGCTGTCTAAGACATCCAGAGAAGTAGATACATTTTTAAAATTAATTCATTGGCTGAAATCTAGAGAAAGACCAAGAAGGTAGAAAGACAGTAATGATTTCTTATGGATTGTCTAGTTACTCAAATTGATCATTTAGGTTTCAAATGGCTGGTTGTAACTTCTTGTGTAGTTCTTTGTAGATTTTCCCCACTCACCCCAAGCAATAGAAGTAGAAAAATCATCAGTCATGTCTGTTTCCAATATACATCCCCAAAAAATATCCAGAAAGATATTTGTTCAGTATTTCCCAGATCAAATCTGAAAACTAACAATGTGAAATATATCAATTCATTTATACAATAAACAATTATTGAGCTATAATGACAGAGCAAGAGTAGCTAAATATTATAAACTTGGGATAATTATCTCATGATGTTTTGTGAATTTTAAATGGGTAAGAGCTTATAAGACTATTATAAATATTAGCTGCTACAATATTTTTCCACTAAAGCATTGATATTGATTACTTTCACTTTTTAAATGTTTTGTTTAGCTTGTAAGAAGGATAGGGAAGTAGAAAGGAATAATGTGAGGCAGTATGGGATGGGAGGGAGGAAGAAAGGGTGTATAAAAGGGGGGGAGAGAGAGAGAGGCAGAGACAGAGAGACAGAGAGAGAGATTGATTGAGGATCAATTGCTTCACAAAAATTTTATAAGACACTATAAAATTATTATTATTATTTACAACTAAAAATTTACAATTAAAAATAATTATTATTATTTACAACTAGTTTAACCTGGACAAACAAGAATTAGATTGTCTTGGGGCAATGTGAATTCTTTATTTTCTCTTTGGTTTGAGTTCTTTTTCATAATTCTTGGTTTTTGTTTTGTTTTGTTGCTAATTGGCATAATACACTACCAAAATATGCCAAATAATACTTTCATTTTATTTTAATTATAAGATGACATTATCCCCTTCAATATTCTACTTGGTAACTTGATAGAAAATATCTATTCTTCTTAAATAAGGTCATCCTGCAATGTTTCTGGGGCTATTCATTTTGTAATGGCTAAATTTCTTAGTTGGTTGTAGTTCTAAAAAACATTTTTAGAAGATATTTCATTTTCAGGATGAGTATGGTAGAATCCAGCTGGGCCCAGAGGAACTATTCAGAGGGAACATAAACAAAAAGGTACATTCAAAAAGCCTCCTTCAATTTCTTTTTCCTCTCATTTTTTTATTTCCTCTAAACATTGTGACTGCTTTCTCATGAAACAGAACATTCTTTGAATATTTTTGTACATTTATTAAACTCTATCAATTTCAAAGTGAGATATTATCATTATTGACCAAGTTATATCTACCCAATGCCAAAATAGATTAAAAATGAGGTAATTTCTTTTGATTATGTTGATAAATTATAAAATGTGAAAATTATAAACTTCTCTGGAATCTGCTCATAGTGTTTCAAATTTCATATTACAGAATAAGCATAGAAAGAATAGGCTTGACAATGAATTAACAAAACATAGGTCTAAAATTTCTTATGACTTAAAAATATATTGAAACAAAATAATTTAATTAGAAGCCTTTTAAAAGTCACATGTAGAAAGCTATCATATAAATGGTTTTCAAGGAGTATAGAAAAATACTACATCTTGCCTGGGGGAGTAGGGTTTAAAAATATACTCTTCTATTTACACCTCTAGGGGCAGTTCTAATACACAGAATACAGCAAAATTGTGGAGCGGTTTAGGGAAAATGAACATTTTTCAAAGATAATTCTGATCCATGCCTCTTTCACCCTCCCAGGTGGAGAACCAAGATCATGATGATTATACATTTTGAAATCAAATAAACATGAGTACAGTCCTAGCTCAACCATACAAGTTGTGTAACTTAGTTCAAGTCAGTTTAATTTGATTAGCCTCATTTTCTTCAGGTATAAAATGGCAATTGCAATACCTACTTCAGAGGGTTGTTAAACTATAATGAGTAGTTTTTAACTATCATTTTTAAGTTTTTACCATGTGCCAGACACTGTGCTAAAGCACTTTACACATATACCATTAGGATTATATGAGCTAATGCACGTAAAAATACTTGATGGCATGCCTGGCATATGGTAGACACTAAGTAATTAGCTTGTTTTCCTTTCAAGTGCTATACATATAGGTATTACAAATACATACGAATATAAATAAGACTAAATAAGACAAAAAGCTGCCTTTGGTGAACACATACTGGTGGGGAGACAGACCTGAAACGAATAAAGACAACAGCATGTAGTAAGTGGTATTATAGTGATAAACATAATGACTAGAGGCAGCACAGACGAAGAAAGATTCAGACAATGGTACTCTAACATGCCACTTCTGTTTTTCCTTCTCCTTCTGCCTTATCTTCGTCCTTAATTCTCTCTGTCTCCCATTTGTCTACCTCAACAAATGCCCAAAGTTATGAGTGAGGGCAGTTTTACAGTAGATGAAAGAACATTCCATTTCCATCCCCCTCCTTTCCCACATCAAGCTCCTATTCCAAAGCTGCTATTAATTGGCATACGCAAGATTATAATTAAGCTCTTTTTGTCTTATTTAAGTTTAATATTATATTACTCTTTTTATTCTGTGGGTAAAAACTATGCCAGAAAGGTTGTGTATTTGAGCTGACAAAGCAATGGTGCATTATGTAGTGGAAAATCTCTTATAATAAATAGAATTACTATCTACTAGGAGTGCCATGCAGAAATTTGTCAGAAAATTAAAAAATAAAAAGAAACAAACGTTTATTTACATCACTGATCCTTCACCTGTGACTCTACTGTTAAATGTTCCTTTGGGGCATTGTATACAGCTTTCTTGTTTTCTACATGTTTAGAGAAAGGTTGATGTTAAGCAGCATAACACAATTGTTCACCATGGAAGTACTCTTCACATTATATAAGAAACAAGTAAAGGTGAAAATAAAGAAATTTAAACATTTATTTAGAACCTAAAATGGCACAGATACTCAAATGTGATTTTATGCAATATAATGTTTAATCTTCCCAACTACCCTTAACATTTTGGTGGATGAACCAGAGAGTAAGATAATTTATATTCCTCAGCACACTATTTTTTTCTTTCCTGTCATTCATCATTTTATTCCAAAGAAAGAAAATACTTAGAACTCTTCCCTAGAAACAACTGCCTTTCTTTCCAGATGATGCTATCTGCCTGTATGGAATCACAAAGCAGAATACTCTACTTTTGTTTGTTTGTTTGTTTTTCTCTCTTGACTCTCTATAGACCATACTAGTTGCTTACTTTCTGTTCCCACACCTCTCATCCCTTCACCAACATTAGTTCAGGCAAACAGTTCTTGGTGCAACTTGAATATCTTTCTAGAAGCATAGTTTTCAAACTTTAGCAGAGATATCATTTTTACTATGCATAAGTATTGTCTGGGGAGCTTGTTAAAAATTCAGGTTTCTGGAAGATATCCCTAGAGGTTCTGATTAATTTGATAGGTGGTCAAGTCATGGAATCTAAAATTTTAGCAACTACTGTAGGCTACTTTTTTTTAGGCCTTGGAAAAACAAGATTCTAGACTGTGGGTAATTCTCTCCTCGGTTTCATTATCATCACTTCTGCCTACTAGGACATTTCTGTGGCTTCCTTAATGGGTTTGGCACCAGGCTACTGGTTCTCTCTCTCTCTCTCTCTCTCTCTCTCTCTCTCTCTCTCTCTGAAAAAAAAAAAGCCCCATCATTATTCTTAGAATTTGACATCCATTTTGATAAGCCTTCTAATATTCTGGTCTCAAATTTTTCAAATTCCTTTCAATTACAATCTTTAAAAGCTATATTTTTTTATTTTGCCATCAACTTAAATTGTTCTAACATTTTATATTTATAATTTTGAAAACATCCTTTTCATATAAAATATTTTATCCTTTTTTACTTTCTAACTTTTAATAAACTATTTGTTACTCCCTTTTTGAAGTAAACTTTCTGTCTTTCAAACTGTCCTTATTTATCCAATCAATCATGAATGACAATAGAAACTTCCAATTATTCATTGCCTACTATGTGTTGGACCCCATACTTAGCATTTAATTTATAACATTTTGCACATATCCTGTGAATTAGTTATCATTTACTTTATTTTACAGATGCAAATGAGACTCAAGAAGATTAAGAAACATATCCAAGGATATATAGCTTATAAATAGAAGAATCTTGACTTAAAACCATATTTGTATTGATATAACTCCAAAACCCTTCCACTGACAAGCATAGCTTTCTTATTCAACTTTGATAATAAAGCACATTACTTTTTCTTGCCTCCTCTAGACTTTCTATGGTACTCATCCATTCTTGCCTATATATCTTTACTTAACTATGCTTTTTATCTAAAGTGTTTTTCAAAATTAATGAATAAATCAAGACCCAAATCTTTTTGTAGTTAGAAATCATCTTGTTTTTCCTTCCATTTATCACTTGTCAACGCCTGTCTTCTGTGAGTGTTATTTATGTAGGTGAGTCCCCCTCAACCAAATCGTGAACTCCTGGAGCAAGAAGCAGAGTATAGTAGGAAGAGCTCTATCTATGATATTAAACAGACGTTGCTCCTAATCACATCCCAGCATTTACTGACCATATTATCTTGACAATTCACAATGTCTTATCTCTAATCTTTAGTTTACTATGCGCCAAAATTAATATTATGCACCCCACAGAATTATGGTGAGGCTTAAATAATGTCCCATATATGATGTGTCTAGAACATCTTGAATATAGCTGGGACGCAACAAATCCTGACCTTCTGATACTGACCCTGCCTCCCACCCACAATGCTAATCAGCACAAAGAAGATCACATTTGACGTAATTAGTAGAAATGTAGAAAAAGTTACCTATCACAGGGGTTGTCAAAACAGCTGGTAGTTGTTGAAGTTGTATGAGAAAAAACCTACATCTTGAATCTATTGTTAAGCCTAATCCTTAGGATTGGATATAGTCTAGTTTAGTCTACCCTTGACATACTTGCACAATACTTTCTAAATTAAACAATCGTAATAAATGAAGATTTGACCTTACAAAGTTGAGGAAAATCTCTTCAGTTTAGTCACATTTCATTCAGCATATTGATGTGAATCGGCAGGAGCTAGAGTGTGTATAATTAAGTTCTACATTCATATCTCTTTTCCAACAAAACAAGTATGTATGTTTAAATCTACTAAAGTGCCAGTCACATCTCTACAGGAATTTTAAATGTTTTCTTGTACCTGAGCATGTGATATTTACTTGCAAAAGTCATACCAGTGGTATCTCATCATGTCAGTGTTGAGTTCAACATTTTGGGCCAAACAACAGAGAGAATCATCTATCTCCCAAACCTTACATTGAACACTTG